TTTTTGAAAATTGCATGGTATATAGAATATACTTATTTAAACATTCGGTACAAATTTCATGTATCTATGGTCATTTGTTTTAATGTTACATCAAAAACCAAAATTGATTTTGTCGAAAAATTAGTGTGCGTAAAATTTCCCGTTTTTCCCTTAAATTTTAGTTTGTTTTTCTCGATTATTTAGAAAAGTATTAAGAATTTTTTACTGCCCCATAACGTGATGACAGACACAAAAAAAAAAAACACACATCATGGTAAAATCAATACATTCATCGCTCCGCTCAGAATCTAAAATCATTCTATACCTCTAATGTTAAAATACCATGAGAAATAATTTTATTTGTATGTTAAAATATCCGAATAATATTTAAAAAAATGACGTGTACAATTAACATGAATAAACTATGTTCATCAAATAAATAATTTTTTTAAATTTGACGTCATAAGAACTTATTGAAAGAGACATAAACAGCGAGAGACATGTTGACTGTATAGTGTAGGTATACTTAATATTTGTATATTATGATATACATCGTACAACAAAATATACGAGACTGTATATTATGCGTATAAGGTGTATAGAGTGCACACGAACTGCATAACAAATCAAGTAACGTGCCTTTTTGAATGAATTCCGTCCTACAGTCAATATATTCACAAATTGATCCTTAAGTTATTTCTATTGACGAATAAAATTAAGAATTGATAAATAAATTATAATTTAATGTATTTTTAAAATTAAACATATACGATAATAATACTACATAATATACGATTTAATTCGAGAGGATACAAGTCGCATGCAATTCTTGTAGGTATACCGGTATTTATATATCGTATCTACATAGGTTCCACTATATAAGGATTTTAACGTCCACGAAAATACTTATTTCTTTTGTACTAAATTGCTTCGTTAATGTTGTACCTAMTCGCCACTGAATACCTATTACCTATACAAATCTTATACGTTAGTAATATATAATATTATCACCACGAACAATATTTCTACCTATTTGTACGGTTTTGTTGTTTTTATGCATAGAGGATTATTCAAAATAACAATCATCCGGTGATTTGCACCTCGTTTGCTAGGAGACATGATCTTACTATATACATATTTTAATGATACTATGTACCAGCAAGGTTGTTATAAACCATAGAGGAGCTAAAAAAATTTGCGAAATTAGCTGTATTAGATATGCATTGAGTTTGTGTTCCGACTAGATGCGTAGTATAATGTAACCAAGGAAAGCCACGTAGAACGTTATTATGTATTATAGGTAACCAGGAAGGTACACTTATCTGCTACCATTAAATCAATTTGAAATATTATCATTTTAATTATTGTATCATATATGTATAATATTACTTTAGACCTAAAAACTTTAAACGTATTAAATTGGACGAAACATCGTTTTAAATAACTATATAATACGTAATAACATATTATGATATTATGGTCCCGCGTCAGTGTGGCGTGTAAGTAATATAATAACTATAACATTGTTATTATAACTACGATCAAGTTGGTTTACCGAACCTCTGGGGCTATAATATATATATATATATACACGGAGGAACCTCACTGGTCGCCCGCTTTGTCGAACTTGGAAAGTGAACGAGTTGGAACAAAAACAATCGTAACGTGGTGGCGGGTTTAACGACTTCGCGTCTCGTCGCGCCGCAGAACTTACGTAATTCCCAGGAGAAAGGCGTCCATTCCGTGCTCTAGAATATATACACGACGCGACGTATATTGTATACATTATATGTATGTATGTGTGTGCGTGCGTGTGTATTTGTTTGTAGATATGGATGTAATATATATACATATAGGTATCGCCATACGACGGATATACATAAGTCGTCTATAGCTATAGACTTCCTACTTCGTAAACATACACACCTACGGGGTTCCACGGACACTGTATATAGAGAGGACTTAATAATGATAATTATATATATATATATATATATATTTTATAAGTATTACAAAATCGCATCGCGTTTATGATATTATATATACAACATATTCATATTTTATAATATCAACATGTTACCTATATGTTATATTATGCGGGAAATTGTAATATTTTTACGCTACCGTCTATTGTCTAATATAAAATATAAACTATTCGTACTCGTGCGGCTCAACATATTGTAGGTATGCAAAGACCTGTAATAGGTATTATATGTAATACAAATATTTTAATCGAATAACGATTTAATATTAATTTAATTGACGAACGGGTTAGGTACTTAAGTTATATAATAGCTTATACACCTGACCATCTTGTCTAAAATGTCATATTTTAAATATTTTTTTATCTTAGACTACCTAAATAAATATAAACTATGCATATTTGTAACAATAACACGGTAATTTAGGTAGTTTATATGGATCTAAAATTATATCCAATTAAAATACCTAATCGTTTTATAATTTGTAACCAACTGGAACTCCATACAAACAATTAAACAATCAAATACATTTATTAAACATTTGAAAATTTCTAACATTGGCAACAAAGTTCCAAATTTTAAAATTTAGCCACGAGTTGTAAGTACATCTTATTTGTACTTATGAACCAAATTTAAAAACTATGAGTGCTATAAACTTGATTATGGATCATTTACACGCACACCACGTTCAAAAATTTCCTTTACTCGTAATATCGGTAATATAGATTATAGAAAATTTGTAAAGACGTATAGTATCCATAAGGTACTCACTTTGTACGGTGTCACGTACTTCGTGGATACCGCCGGGGGGTGTTGCACTTTGACGTGTGTTGTCGATATAGTAGCGTACGAAGTGGCTGGTGGTGGACCATGGTGGTGTCCATCATAGTGGTCGTCCTCTTGGTAGACTGGAGAGGCAGTTGATAGTTGTGCGTACACGGCGTATACGGCCAAAAACACCTGTGGACCACAAAACGTATACTATTATAGCCAGCATGTATTGACGTCTAAGGTAAAAAACATTGTCCAGTCAACTTTTAGTCGGGTTGGTTGAATAACGACTAGTTGGTAAATTATTACTGCAACGAAATTACTTTTCTGATATCGAAACAGCGATATAATTATATAGGTTGGACAAGTTACTTACTTACTCTGTTTAAACCAAACATTAGAGTAACATAATTGAGTCTGCTCGAAATCGATCTACTAAAAACTGGTAAAACACTATGAGTTGTGACAAATCTCGAAGTATTGCATCTAAGCATGTATTAAATAATGTTTGGCCTTGGAGTTTCGAAACGTTATTGTTGATGTATGTATCCATCAGATATTTTAATCTCAATCAATTAGCTAACCCAACTCAACCCTTTCCAATATGCTTGTCGGGTAGCTATACATTTTTCAATTATGTTATTTTACCGTTATATTGCATCAGTCACAGTATGTAACGTTTGATGATACTATCGAAATGCTTTGAATCTCAGTTGATGTGAATTTAACTTGCTTTATGGTGGTGGAGACTACTGGGATTATTTTATTTAACAATATGTGGATGAGTGTTATACATACATATTCATATTATAGGTATACAATTAAGCGACAGATTACACTTATGTATTATTACTACAATTTTTTTAATTTCTTAAAAATATTTCCGCCTTATATATTAACGCATATAATAGTTGTCGAAATCCTTATGAGTAAGTAAACATGATACATGATTTCGTGATGATATTTAAAAATTTAATGAGCAGCTCAACAGTAAATATAATACAAGCTAAGTATTTATAACTCAAAAACCTCGTTAAGCCGATTTTTTTTCGTACTCTTTGAAGTGTTTTTAAGTTATGTTAGTGGTTTCTAACTCGAAAAATACATAATTTAAATTTATATTATATTTTTTATTATTCTTTTAGAGATTCAAGTTATCGAGACACGACTGTATAATATACCTAATATAATATAAAACATCATCAATCGTAATACCCATCGCATATGAACAGCAACGGTTTTGAATCGGTTTGAAATCAATATTTATACCTAGGCTTATAGCTGTTATGGGTGATTACTCGAAACCCGCCACCCTTGCGTTAATAATAGTTACCTAATACCAGTGAATCTATACCACACGCATACTATATCGTCCAACCAAATCAAACGTACTCACCAAGTGCCTTGTGCCGACCATGGTTATGGTTACGGAGTTGTCTGTCTGTCTATATATTATATATATGTCACCACTGTAGTCAGCGATCGCCGTGACGGTTTTCTCGATGCAGCTGAAGTCGTGGGTGTATCGCGATGTCAGTGGAGTATTCGATGATAAAGTCCACGCGATCAGTGCGGGTTCGGTGTGCGTGCGCGAAGCGATCGGGTATAAGTGCGCCGGTGAGAGGTGAAGTTTTGACGCCGGAACAGCGTTGGCCCGTGGTTTTTATACGCGGGGATTGTACGTCGATCGGTCGGTCGGCGCTTCCCCCGGTTCGCCGCCGCCGCTGACACCACGACCGCGGTTGCGTCACGGCGATGAGATAACTTCGGGATGCACGACCGCCAACGGTATAGCTGGTACACGATGCCGCCACTGTCCGCCGAACCCGGCAGTGATACGATGTTATGTTTCCTTCCACTCGAAAGGGACATAGTCGTGAACTTGAGCAGCGGACGTCACCTCCGTCATCCAGTAATCGTTTCACCAGAACGGGTGCCGACCTAGAACTGCTGTGTTACGCAATACATTATACCGTCGTTCGTCGAGTCTTGGAGAACCGATCGGTTTTCGTCACCATCTTTATGATCATTATCATATTTTATTCAGTCTTTACTGCACACGCCACACACGATAGAAGTCACGAGATTATTATTTAGATGGTAATACCGTCGTTACAGTAGCGCAACCAAGGGGGGTGTTTTGGGTGTCTGGACACCCCCCTTGAACCGTATAATAGGAAATTTATATTTAATTATATTCAATAACCATTGAAAAAAAATGTTCAATCTTTTTTAAATCTAAATCTAGTGTTAAAATGTATAACTGATAAATGTTATTAAGTCTTTTGTCCATAGTTTATCGACAATTACTAAAATTATATGTAACTTTAATCTAAACATACGTGTCACGTACCTTCTCACGTAATATAAATTGTTTAGTWAATAAAACGTTGGACGTCAGTAGTGTATTCAGAAATAATTATGGTGGTGCTTTGATTCAAATAGTTTGAATAATATAATATAATAGGTAAATATTTAATAGTAGTGGTGACGACTGTCACATGTACATAATATACTAACAAATTTGCAAATGAATTGGGAAAATACTGTATACGCTACTTGCGGACACCCCCCTTGAAAAAATCCTAGTTGCCGTCGTATAATATGTTATGATACTATTTTTTCGACAGTTATTATGTTATTATTTTGATATTTTGGCGTTAGTTCTCCAACGATATTACAATATATAATATCAATCATATTTTTCTCGTGCAGATCTCGAGTACTTCATATAGATGTTGAAAATATTAAAAGTGGAAGTTAAACAGTGCTTAATTTACTTGGAATGTTAATCTTTTTGGATATATTTCAGAGACCTGTTTTGACCAAACAATACTACGTGGTATCGTTAAAATTGAACTCGCAACCACAATTATTATAATACTTTGAATCATCAATGGATACCAATCTTATTACTGCTTGGATGTATCCAACATTTTATATTTATGATTTTCAACATTTGTAGTTGCGATGGCCAATAAGTTATGGAATTATTCAAGGCGCATGTCTGTAAGATAAACACCCTTGCGTTAAAATCATAACCAAACGTAGTTTGATATTCTTCATAATAGTTACCGTTCAAATCAATTGTGCTCCAGTAACACCGATTACGTTAGCTATAGCCTAAGTATAAAAAGACGCATATCACTTACATCTGTTATTGTGTAAAAATGTACGTGAAAAAGCGAGTAAGTGGATGCCGCTCTGCTTTACAATAGGTTACAAGAGAGTTACTGTAAATGGATGGTATTAAATTTAAATTCAATGATATAATTATTGGTATTATTTTGAGCGGAGATTTAGGATATTTTTTACTATATTAATTATATTGTTATTATTTCAAAAATAAAAATAATAAAAGTACCTACCTATAAAATAAATTTCAAATGATCAAATCAGATTCATTATGTACCCGACCCACTCAGAATCAGTCATTCATATAGTAAATACAACAAAACAATAATGTATTAATATACCTATATAAGTCATTAACGACATAAACTATTACGATAAGAATATAATTTATACGATAACTCTAGAAATTTCAAGTACCCACGAATAATATTTTTAAATTACAAAAATATAATTAAAATTGTTATTTTTGGGCTCTTGGTCATTTAATATAATAATAATATGTAATTACGTTCAAATAGAACTTAAAGTGCCTAACTATAAAAAAAACTGTGTTTGTATAGTTTTTAAATATTTTTTGTTACAGTTTTAACTACCTAATTGAAACCTTATCATAAATATTCAATACTTCGCTAAAAAAGCTAAATAATTTCTAAATTTTCAATTTAATACATTTTGTCAACATTTGAACATCAAACAGTGTTATATATTATATAAAAAAAAACGTACCAATGTATTTTTAATATTTTTCAACTTTTATTATATAAACGCATGAAGAGTTAGTGTGAAACTTAGTGTTTGATTTTCAAGCTTTTTGAATCAAAGATTAAAATTTTATAGACATTTATAATATTATAGGATAAAAAAAACGAAAAAATCTGAAAATGTCTATGAATAAATTATAAATAGTTGAAATATTTTGAAAATTCTATCAAATATAGGAAATTTCAATATAAATATTCAGTGAAAATTGCATGTATATACAGTAATTTGTTTTATGAGTTACTCCAATATCCAATATTGATTTTGTCAAAAAACTGATTTTGCGTAAAAATTCCCTTTTTCCTTAATTTTTTTGATTTTGTTTTTCTCGTCGCTTTTGATTTTTACCTCCCCGATACATCAACTATACTTACTTTACTACCGGAAATACTACTGAACTTGAAAATCGAAGCTTTATTTCAACAACTTATCATCTACATAGACAAACAAAAAATATATATATATTATATTATAAACACACATCATTGTAAAATCAATACATTAATCCCTTTGCTGATCCGCTCCACATAATCTAAAATTTCTACGAAAATAATAGCTAGAAAAAAATTGCTGCTTTGTATAAATAGGCTAATGGGTAGAAATGTCTATGTAAACGAATTTATAATTGGACAAATTTACCCGTTGCCCTTTATTTCCATGGGCATTTTTAATTCACAAAAGTCTACTTAGATCTGTGTCACTAGCTATAAATGAATCATCAATGATGATACTTAATATGTATTATATTATGAATTTATATTATAGTTGACAGTTGTAAATAAAACATAGTCTCATTTTGCGATATTATTTAACAGATGTCTTTCAAGGATTTTTCGAACATATTCAATATAATACTTAAATCATAAAGATATAAGTAATAGGTAAATAAATATGAGCACATTCTTATTTCAAAAATGCTTTTAAATTTCTTTTTGACTTGATCATTGGTTACATAGGTAGTGATAAAGACCATTAATTTCACAACCACTAACACTTCACTTATATTATAACACATGTATTATGGATAGAATACGCATAAACGGTTGTCTATCTTAAGATCTAGGATTCTAGGCTAGGTTAGGTCACAGATAAGTACTTGATTACTGTGGTGTACCCATTATACAAGCAATATGGCTAGCGATATCCTGGATCCCGTTGTTACCGTGTGGGTTAAGTTTGAGAATGATGTTAGATTTCATAAAATGAATATTTATATTTAGCACTCACTTTCGTAGATCACTAATGTGAAAATTTCACGATGAGGTTTTATCAGTTATCCTCCGTATAACTAAATTTATCTGAATCGAAGTTTTAACGTCATAAGAAACTTGTATTTTTTTTTGTATTAGGTACATATTTTTGGAATGAAAATCAAAACTATTTTTTTTTAAATGATTGGAAATAACAATATTGAAAATGCAATTTTATCAAAAATTAAAAGCATCGAAATCAACAAAGTCTAATCATATAGAGGTTGAAAAAGTATATTATTTTCGTTGTTTACCTGTCCTACATAATCTATGAATTACATAAACTTACCGATAATGTTTGAAGAATTTCGATGCAATAACAGCAAATTTAGTAAATATCCTTAGATGYACAGATACTTATCCGTACAAATAACAATGAGACAATATTTTGTAATATATTTTTAGTACCGAGTAACACATAATATAATGACACATGTGCCCCTGTAGTATATTGATGAGTATTCAGTTGATTTATTTCAAGTGGAAAGTTGAGTTCGCTTTACAAAGATCTGTAGACACTGATTCATAATAATATGTAAAACCACATTAAAATCAAATGAATAGTTCCTGTTATATTTTTCAATCTACTTTCCAATTCTATTCCATATTGTATAATACACAATAAACTAATGTAGGTAACATCGGTTCCATAATATAAATAAACTATTATATATCTACCTAAAATATGTTCATATAAGCACGACATCGTTAATAAAATAATCTTGTTTTGTATGATATTTTTATCCAGCTGACGTATAAGAAAAAGGACTAACAATATTGTCCTTCAATTTATTTTAAACGATTTATAATCCTCTCGGAACTCGTATACTAATAATATTTTTATTTTTTTGTTATAAAAACGCATAAAAGTAAATTATGTAACTATTTAAAAACAAAAATTATTACTCAACATTTATTTGGAATTCTGTGTATATAAACATCACAGCATATAAACTCTATAACCAGAAAGTTATTTTATACAAATTACAATACGTAGTATTGTATCAGCTATAATGGTTGCTTCAATAATATTAGGTACAAATGGTACAATATTATTGTCCGATGATGGCGATCATTGTTAAAACAACATGTATATTAGTAGTATATTGATAAATTAGTTAGCATGCAAAATTATAAAAGATTACCTACCTGTAGTAAAATAGAATTAAAACATTTCATTACATAATTAATATCTTATTCATATCTAGGATTTATGATTTAAATTTACTTGGAAAATATTTTGGATTTTGGCCAAAGCTAAGAATATGTAAGTGGTTTTAAAATAATGCTCCAAAATTTCCATTTGACCTAGATTTTATTTACCTACTGTGAGTACATTTACTCTAGGTTGTTATACTTCAAGTGGCAGGATTCAAACAAAATAAGAAGAGCTTAAAAACAATGATATACACCAAATTTATAAAGGAACATGAAATTATCTTTTTTATAAAATTCTTAGCATTGCAGTTTATTATAA